ATAAACAAGGCCAACAACACACTTAATACATCATAAACAAGGCCAACAACACACTTAATACATCATAAACAAGGCCAACAACACACCACACTTAATACATCATAAACAAGGCCAACAACACACTTAATACATCATAAACAAGGCCAACAACACACTTAATACATTATAAACAAGGCCAACAACACACCACACTTAATACATCATAAACAAGGCCAACAACACACCACACTTAATACATCATTAACAAGGCCAACATCACACTTAATACATCATAAACAAGGCCAACAACACACTTAATACATCATAAACAAGGCCAACAACACTTAATACATCATAAACAAGGCCAACAACATACCACACTTAATACATCATAAACAAGGCCAACAACACACTTAATACATCATAAACAAGGCCAACAACACACTTAATACATCATAAACAAGGCCAACAACACACTTAATACATCATAAACAAGGCCAACAACACACTTAATACATCATAAACAAGGCCAACAACACACTTAATACATCATAAACAAGGCCAACAACACACTTAATACATCATAAACAAGGCCAACAACACACTTAATACATCATAAACAAGGCCAACAACACACTTAATACATCATAAACAAGGCCAACAACACACCACACTTAATACATCATAAACAAGGCCAACAACACACTTAATACATCATAAACAAGGCCAACAACACTTAATACATCATAAACAAGGCCAACAACACACTTAATACATCATAAACAAGGCCAACAACACACTTAATACATCATAAACAAGGCCAACAACACACTTAATACATCATAAACAAGGCGAGCAACACACTTAATACATCATAAACAAGGCCAACAACACACTTAATACATCATAAACAAGGCCAACAACACACTTAATACATCATAAACAAGGCCAACAACACACTTAATACATCATAAACAAGGCCAACAACACACTTAATACATCATAAACAAGGCCAACAACACACTTAATACATCATAAACAAGGCCAACAACACACTTAATACATCATAAACAAGGCCAACAACACACTTAATACATCATAAACAAGGCCAACAACACACTTAATACATTATAAACAAGGCCAACAACACACTTAATACATCATAAACAAGGCCAACAACACACTTAATACATCATAAACAAGGCCAACAACACACTTAATACATCATAAACAAGGCCAACAACACACTTAATACATCATAAACAAGGCCAACAACACACATAATACATCATAAACCAAGGCCAACAACACACTTAATACATCATAAACAAGGCCAACAACACACCACACTTAATACATCATAAACAAGGCCAACAACACACTTAATACATCATAAACAAGGCCAACAACACACTTAATACATCATAAACAAGGCCAACAACACAATACATCATAAACAAGGCCAACAACACACTTAATACATCATAAACAAGGCCAACAACGCACCACACTTAATACATCATAAACAAGGCCAACAACACACCACACTTAATACATCATAAACAAGGCCAACAACACACTTAATACATCATAAACAAGGCCAACAACACACCACACTTAATACATCATAAACAAGGCCAACAACACACTTAATACATCATAAACAAGGCCAACACCACACTTAATACATCATAAACAAGGCCAACAACACTTAATACATCATAAACAAGGCCAACAACACTTAATACATCATAAACAAGGCCAACAACACACTTAATACATCATAAACAAGGCCAACAACACACTTAATACATCATAAACAAGGCCAACAACACACTTAATACATCATAAACAAGGCCAACAACACACACTTAATACATCATAAACAAGGCCAACAACACACTTAATACATCATAAACAAGGCCAACAACACACTTAATACATCATAAACAAGGCCAACAACACACTTAATACATCATAAACAAGGCCAACACCACACTTAATACATCATAAACAAGGCCAACAACACACTTAATACATCATAAACAAGGCCAACAACACACTTAATACATCATAAACAAGGCCAACAACACACTTAATACATCATAAACAAGGCCAACAACACACACTTAATACATCATAAACAAGGCCAACAACACACCACATCATAAACAAGGCCAACAACACACACATCATAAACAAGGCCAACAACACACACACTTAATACATCATAAACAAGGCCAACAACACACTTAATACATCATAAACAAGGCCAACAACACACTTAATACATCATAAACAAGGCCAACAACACTTAATACATCATAAACAAGGCCAACAACACACTTAATACATCATTAACAAGGCCAACATCACACTTAATACATCATAAACAAGGCCAACAACACTTAATACATCATAAACAAGGCCAACAACACACCACACTTAATACATCATAAACAAGGCCAACAACACACTTAATACATCATAAACAAGGCCAACAACACACCACACTTAATACATCATAAACAAGGCCAACAACACACTTAATACATCATAAACAAGGCCAACAACACACTTAATGCATCATAAACAAGGCCAACAACACTTAATACATCATAAACAAGGCCAACAACACACTTAATACATCATAAACAAGGCCAACAACACACCACACTTAATACATCATAAACAAGGCGAACAACACACTTAATACATCATAAACAAGGCCAACAACACACCACACTTAATACATCATAAACAAGGCCAACAACACACTTAATACATCATAAACAAGGCCAACAACACACTTAATACATCATAAACAAGGCCAACAACACACTTAATACATCATAAACAAGGCCAACACCAGATTTAATACATCATAAACAAGGCCAACAACACACTTAATACATCATAAACAAGGCCAACAACACACTTAATACATCATAAACAAGGCCAACAACACACTTAATACATCATAAACAAGGCCAACAACACACTTAATACATCATAAACAAGGCCAACAACACACTTAATACATCATTAACAAGGCCAACATCACACTTAATACATCATAAACAAGGCCAACAACACACCACACTTAATACATCATAAACAAGGCCAACAACACACTTAATACATCATAAACAAGGCCAACAACACACTTAATACATCATAAACAAGGCCAACAACACACTTAATACATCATAAACAAGGCCAACACCACACTTAATACATCATAAACAAGGCCAACAACACACCACACTTAATACATCATAAACAAGGCGAGCAACACACTTAATACATCATAAACAAGGCCAACAACACACTTAATACATTATAAACAAGGCCAACAACACACTTAATACATCATAAACAAGGCCAACAACACACTTAATACATCATAAACAAGGCCAACAACACACTTAATACATCATAAACAAGGCCAACAACACACATTAATACATCATAAACAAGGCCAACAACACACTTAATACATCATAAACAAGGCCAACAACACACTTAATACATCATAAACAAGGCCAACAACACACTTAATACATCATAAACAAGGCCAACAACACACTTAATACATCATAAACAAGGCCAACAACACACTTAATACATCATAAACAAGGCCAACAACACACTTAATACATCATAAACAAGGCCAACAACACACTTAATACATCATAAACAAGGCCAACAACACACTTAATACATCATAAACAAGGCCAACAACACACTTAATACATCATAAACAAGGCCAACAACACACTTAATACATCATAAACAAGGCCAACAACACACCACACTTAATACATCATAAACAAGGCCAGCAACATACTTAATACATCATAAACAAGGCCAACAACACACTTAATACATCATAAACAAGGCCAACAACACACCACACTTAATACATCATAAACAAGGCCAACAACACACTTAATACATCATAAACAAGGCCAACAACACACTTAATACATCATAAACAAGGCCAACAACACACCACACTTAATACATCATAAACAAGGCCAACAACACACTTAATACATCATAAACAAGGCCAACAACACACCACACTTAATACATCATAAACAAAGCCAACAACACGCTTAATACATCATAAACAAGGCCAACAACACACTTAATACATCATAAACAAGGCCAACAACATACACATTCTATATCACCTTACTACTACAGTAAACAACACACCAGTCCATACACATCAACAATCACCTTACTACTTCAGTAAACAACACACCAGTCCATATACATCCTATATTTTCATACCACTACAGCTGACCACTACAGGTAAATGACATGACTAGCCCAAATATATCTTTTTATCAGCTTTCCACTTCAGGTTAACAATGTACCAGCCCAAATACATCCTTTACTAGTTGACCACTATAGATAGATGATATGCAAAGCCCAAACACATCCTTTACCTGCTTACCACCCCAGGTAAATGACATGCCAAGCTTAAACAAATCTTTGTATCAGCTTACCATACAGGTAAACAATGTACTAGCTCAAACACATCCTTTACCAGTTTACCACTACAGGTTAATGACATGCCAGCCCGAAAACAATCCTTTACCAGCTTACCACTACAGATAAATGACATGTCAAGCCCAAACAGATCTTTTTCCCAGCTTACCACTATAGGTAAATGACATGCCAGCCCAAAAACAATCCTTTATCAGTTTACCACTACAGGTTAATGACATGCCAGCCCAAGATGTTCTTTATCATTTCAAAGTCTGACAGAGCAAGCCCTGATTCTCTTTTAGTATCCATGATCCATCCTCATTCCAAAGAAGTCATTCCCAGGCTAATACTCTCGAGAAAAACTGGGAAAAATTTGATTTTTTTTTACATTATGGTTGCAGGTGTTGTAAGCTTTGAGTCCAGAATGTTACAAAACAAGTCAGGGGTTGTTAGCCTCGGCGCTGTTGTTGCCATGATCTGGTGTAGATAGGAATGTGAACGAGGTCCACTGGACAACGATGAGGTAAGTTTTAGACCATTGGCTTTTACATTAAGTGCAATTAGGACCTACAGGCAGAGAATTGTGTTGTGTTAATGATGATTTTAAGGTCACAGTGCCACAGAAAATGCATATTATTTCTTCTAACACAATTTTTTAAAATTCTTGCTCTGTTCACTGTTATTAAAGCTTGTGACTCTGTTTAACAATATTATTTATGCCCATTCCACCATTATTAGCTCATCTGGCAAATAGGAGAAATTATTTTGTATAAACACCGGGTCTTGGACTGCTTGGGATGGAGAGGCGGGGCCCAATGGGGAAAATCTATTAATTTCTGTATAAATCTATCTTTTTCTCCAGGAATGGCAGGATATTGTCCGAACTTGGTCTGAAGCATGCTTGTTTGAAGGGAAATGAGTTTTGTATAAATGGTGGGTCCTGGCCCCCTGGGGCAGAAAGGATGGGCCCCATTGGATAAATAGAGAAAATACTTTAAATACTACTTCTCCTGCATGAATATTCGGATTTTGTCCTAATTTGGTCTGTAGCATGTTTGGGTGAAGGGGGAATCAATTCTGTATAAATGGTGGGCCCACCTGGGCTGGGAGGGGCAGGGTCCAATAGGGGAATCCAGCAAATTATTTAAAATCTTACTCCTTCTGTAGGTATGATTGAATTTTGCCCATATTTGGTCTGAAGCATTGTTGGATGAAGGGGAATTAGTTTTTAATGAACTTTTGGCTTTGGCTACCAGGGGCAGGAGGGGTGAGGCTCTATAGTGGAAATAGAGCAAATTCTTTGAAAATTCTTCTTCTTATATATGAATACCTAGATGTTGTCCCAATTTGGTCTGAGACATACTTTGATGTAGGGGAATCAAATTGAAAAAAAAAAAGTGGATCTCAGCCTCCTTAGATGAAAGGGATAGGGCCCAATAGTGAAAATAGAGCAAATTATTTAAATTATTTTATTATTATCATTAATCTTATGAAGAAATGCCAGGATCCTATCCCAAATTGGTCTGAGATATGCTTGAGTGAAGGGGATCAGTTGTGTATGAACAGTTGATTTTGGCCCTCTGGGATGAGTGGGGTGGGGCAGAGTAGTGATAAAAGAACAAATTCTTTAAAATCCTTCTTCTGTTGGAATGATTCCATTTTGTCTACATTTTATCTGAAGCATCCTTGCTGAAAAGAACCTAATTTTTGTGCAAACATTGCATCTAACCCCCCTGGGGAGGAGAGGTGGGGCCTTATTGGAAAATAGATACAAGGATTTTAAATACTTTTCCTTTACCTTTAATCAGTTTCAGCAAACTAAACAAGGTGAGCAATACAGGCCCTATGATCATTTTGTATTCAGACATCATTACTTGTGACACTTTACACATATACAATATAAAGGAATGTCTTCCCATATGAACGGTACGACTGAGCTCACAAATCATTCATTTTTTCTCATAAGAAATGCTTTGGTGACATTTCAAACTTTGTCAAGTGAAAGCATGTCAATAAATTTAAAGTCTCAGTTAAACTGAGACAGCCATAAAATCATCAGTTTTTCAGTACGTTTGTGTATTTTGTTTCAGTTCAAAGCAAAACAAAAATTGCACACAATATTTATGAACTCTTCAGCAGATTAATCTACATAAGCACTGTAATATGGCAAGTGAAAGTTCTACACCAGATGATATGTTACTGGTAATTGATCAAAATCAATAGGTCAAAGGTCATACTGGACTACTTCTGATAGTAAATCTGGGAGTCCAATCTGGATGGAAACAGATTTGTTGTGACTCCTCGCATTCAGTTCACCTTGCTTATTTATTCTTTCTTTTCTAACATGTCTGAAAGGCAAAGAATAAAGCTTTTTCAGAGGAGATGTGCTTGTCTGATTTTAAATAAACATGACTTTCAGAATTTGGATAGTCAATTTGATATTTCCTAACTGGTGATGTTGGCAACAAACAGATAATGATACTTGTAATCAATTACATTTCCTAGTTGTAATTACTGTTCCAAAATTAATATCTATAGGTACAAATGTGTGATAGCGATGACCTAATTTATCACATTTTTGTGATAGCGATGACCTGATTTATCACATTTGTGTGATAGTGATGACCTGATTTATCACATTTGTGTGATAGTGATGACCTGATTTATCACAGCTGTGTGATAGTGATGACCTGATTTATCACATTTGTGTGATAGTGATGACCTGATTTATCACAGCTGTGTGATAGTGATGACCTGATTTATCACATTTGTGTGATAGTGATGACCTGATTTATCACAGCTGTGTGATAGTGATGACCTGATTTATCACATTTGTATGATAGTGATGACTTGATTTATCACAGCTGTGTGATAGGGATGACCTGATTTATCACATTTGTATGATAGTGATGACCTGATTTATCACATTTGTATGATAGTGATGACCTGATTTATCACAGTAGTATGATATTGATGACCTGATTTATCACAGTAGTATGATAGTGATGACCTGATTTATCACATTTGTGTGATAGTGATGACCTGATTTATCACAGTTGTATAATAGTGCTAACCTTATTCATCACAGTTGTATAATAGTGCTAACCTTATTCATCAGAGTTGTATGATAGTGCTAACCTTATTCATCAGAGTTGTATGATAGTGCTAACCTTATTCATCAGAGTTGTATGATAGTGCTAACCTTATCCATCACAGTTGTATGATAGTGCTAACCTTATCCATCATAGTTGTATGATAGTGCTAACCTTATTCATCACAGCTGTATTTTAACTCTTGCAAAGGTTTATCTCTATACAAAGTGACCATATTAAAATGTTTACCATACTAGCATGGAAACATTGAACTTTGAACTTCCAGAGACTACTTTTGCCTAACACATAGATACATAATTGCATTTTGTTTTTTTTACATATATTTACACAACTTTTTCTCAAGTAAGATGTAAAAATTTTCAATAAGATTAAATATGATAATCTGTGAAAATGTTCTGTTTTTATGTAACTATCACACTTAAAAAGGAAACTTTTTGTTACTGTGGAGGAAAAATTTCAATTTTCAATTTGTTGTGAAGAGTCATCGCTGACATTTCTACTCATTAAACCCCTTCCATCTATGACACATGTACTAACACCTGCTAAGAAGTAAATTTTAACGAAACAACACGGACATGTAGATATGGGAATTGGATTTTATTTCAATGTTAACCATGCTTTTATGGAGCAATTTTCCTAAAAATGTATTCTAATACACTCCATAGAATATATTCATAGAAGAACGCTGCATAAAGCCATGGTTAACATAAAAATAAAATCCCTATATGATAATACTAACCTTTACTTCATAACTGTATGATGAGGATGCAAACTGTTGAACATTTTAGCTGTTTGATGTAGGTATGCCTCCTCTTGACATTACAGTGATATGAAAGTACTGGATCTCAAAAATGCTTTCATATACATTCAAACCTGCCTTAAAGACCACATTTCTGCACAGGCCACTTGTCTTTAAAGGCTGCTTTTTGGTTCTGTAGGTAATACAATTCATAGTAATTGAACCTCTATATAAAGGCCACTTTTTCAGGTCCTTTGAGTGACCTTTATAGACAGGTTTGACTGTACTGCAGCTGTATGTACTTCAGGGCAATACATAACATCACACATGTAGAAGGAATGTGCACTTTCATATATAACATCTACATCTTGGTACCAGGTACTCCCAGTACCTTTGTAGATATAATTTTGGTACACTGTTACATGATGAGGTTGTACTTTCACATTTCAGCTATGTGAGGGTACTGGCCCACTACCCTTATGTGGTACTAGTGGTGGTGTTTGTTGTGGTAGCCACCTGTCTCATACTCTCCACTACAGTTATACAACTTCCAGACTTTGGAGACCCTATGGCAGTAAGTATATTATTGGTGTCTTTATAAAAGTCTACTCTTGTTGAATTGTGGGCAAATTTGAACTCAGTTTGGTATTAATCATCCTGTTGTTCTGAATACAATTGATAACATGATAGTGAAAATCATGGGAGGAACTAGTATGAATTAGATAGTGAAATACAGTCAATCAGTTTGTAAAGTCTAATTAAGGGGTCAAACGGAATAGCTTTTAAAGGAAGGTGTCCTTAACATAGATCTGTATTGTCTTGTCAGTGGAAATTTAAATAAGAGGCTTTTAAAGACAAGTATTTGTTATGTACAGGTGTCATTAATAGACAAATATTTGTATTATACAGCAAGCCTTTATAGACAAGTATTTGTATTATACAGCAAGCCTTTATAGACAAGTATTTGTATTATACAGGTGATCTATATAGACAAGTATTTGTTATATACAGGTGATCTATATAGACAAGTATTTGTATATACAGGTGTCATTATATAGACAAGTATTTGTATTATACAGGTGATCTATATAGACAAGTATTTGTTATATACAGGTGTCATTAATAGACAAGTATTTGTATTATACAGGCGATCTATATAGACAAGTATTTGTATTATACAGGTGATCTATATAGACAAGTATCTGTTATATACAGGTGTCATTAATAGACAAGTATTTGTATTATACAGCAAGCCTTTATAGACAAGTATTTGTGTTATACAGCAAGCCTTTATAGACAAGTATTTGTGTTATACAGGTGTCATTAATAGACAAGTATTTGTATTATACAGGTGATCTATATAGACAAGTATTTGTTATATACAGGTGTCATTAATAGACAAGTATTTGTATTATACAGGTGATCTATATAGACAAGTATTTGTGTTATACAGCAAGCCTTTATAGACAAGTATTTGTGTTATATAGGTGATCTATATAGACAAGTATTTGTTATATACTGGTGTCATTTATAGACAAGTGTTTGTATTATACAGCAAACCTTTATAGACAAGTATTTGTGTTATACAGCAAGCCTTTATAGACAAGTATTTGTGTTATACAGCAAGTGTCATTAATAGACAAGTATTTGTATTATACAGGTGATCTATATAGACAAGTATTTCTTATATACAGGTGTCCTTTATAGACAAGTATTTGTATTATACAGGTGATCTATATAGACAAGAATTTGTTATATACAGGTGTCATTAATAGACAAGTATTTGTGTTATACAGGTGATCTATATAGACAAGTATTTCTTATATACAGGTGTCCTTTATAGACAAGTATTTGTATTATACAGGTGATCTATATAGACAAGTATTTGTATTATACAGCAAGCCTTTATAGACAAGTATTTGTGTTATACAGCAAGCCTTTATAGACAAGTATTTGTATTATACAGCAAGTCTTTATAGACAAGTATTTGTGTTATACCGGTGATCTATATAGACAAGTATTTGTTATATACAGGTGTCATTAATAGACAAGTATTTGTATTATACAGGTGATCTATATAGACAAGTATTTGTTATATACAGGTGTCATTAATAGACAAGTATTTGTGTTATACAGGTGATCTATATAGACAAAAATTTGTTATATACAGGTGATCTATATAGACAAGTATTTGTTATATACTGGTGTCATTTATAGACAAGTATTTGTATTATACGACAAGCCTTTATAGACAAGTATTTGTGTTATACAGGTGTCATTAATAGACAAGCATTTGTATTATACAGGTGATCTATATAGACAAGTATCTGTTATATACAGGTGTCATTAATAGACAAGTATTTGTGTTATACAGGTGATCTATATAGACAAGAATTTGTTATATACAAGTGTCATTAATAGACAAGTATTTGTATTATACAGCAAGCCTTTATAGACAAGTATTTGTGTTATACAGCAAGCCTTTATAGACAAGTATTTGTGTTATACAGGTGTCATTAATAGACAAGCATTTGTATTATACAGGTGATCTATATAGACAAGTATCTGTTATATACAGGTGTCATTAATAGACAAGTATTTGTGTTATACAGGTGATCTATATAGACAAGAATTTGTTATATACAGGTGATCTATATAGACAAGTATTTGTTATATACAGGTGTCATTAATAGACAAGTATTTGTATTATACAGGTGATCTATATAGACAAGTATTTGTTATATACAGGTGTCCTTTATAGACAAGTATTTGTATTATACAGGCAATCTATATAGACAAGTATTTGTATTATACAGGTGATCTATATAGACAAGTATTTGTTATATACAGGTGTCATTAATAGACAAGTATTTGTATTATACAGGTGATCTATATAGACAAGTATTTGTGTTATACAGCAAGCCTTTATAGACAAGTATTTGTATTATACAGGTGATCTTTATAGACAAGTATCTGTTATATACAGGTGTCCTTGATAGACAAGTATTTGTATTATACAGCAAGCCTTTATAGACAAGTATTTGTATAATACAGGTGATCTATATAAACAAGTATTTGTATTATACAGGTGATCTATATAGACAAGTATCTGTTATATACAGGTGATCTATATAGACAAGTATTTGTTATATACAGGTGATCTATATAGACAAGTATTTGTATTATACAGCAAGCCTTTATAGACAAGTATTTGTGTTATACAGCAAGCCTTTATAGACAAGTATTTGTATTATACAGGTGATCTATATAGACAAGTATTTGTTATATACAGGTGTCATTAATAGACAAGTATTTGTATTATACAGGTGATCTATATAGACAAGTATCTGTTATATACAGGTGTCATTAATAGACAAGTATTTGTATTATACAGGTGATCTATATAGACAAGTATCTGTTATATACAGGTGTCCTTTATAGACAAGTATTTGTATTATACAGATGGCATTTATTAAAGACATTTTGCTACTTACAATTCTCCTTTATGGACAAGTATTTATGATATACAGGTGGTCTTAAAATGAGGTTTGACACCATGTCATCAAAAATGATTTTTAAAATGGTTTTGAAATAAGATTTCCTTCATTAATGTAAAGGAATTCAGTGTTTTAAAGATTTAACATTTGCATGATTTATACTTTCATTTCCAAATTCAATAAAAATTTGGAATATGGGCAGTTTTGCATTTGTTTTCTTTATATGAACTATATTACAGTGTCCGTGAAGACTTAAGCAAGTTTTAAGGTCAGTTTGCTTCCTTGAAAAGTTGTGCCCATTTCAGAAAAAGTCTTATCAATTTCAATGTTTCAAAATACTTTTTGTTAACTTACCTTGCGAACATCATATTGGTACACTTGTACTTACTGTTGCAGGGGTTTGAGCCGCGTGGTACAGATCTAGGAGAGCGACTTACTACATATCACAATGTCATGTTCAACCCAGACAACAAACTTACCCTGCTACCCTATGGAGGTATATTTGAGGACCAGATTGAAGACCAACTCAGGGATCAAAGCGGCAATGACACAGACTTCTGGGACGAGCAGGGATATGTCAAACGAAGCACAAGAAGATCCTCTCTTTGTAACCTCCAAGGTAAATACTGTTAGACATACCTCACAAATAAATACGTAAACACAAAAAATAAAGTTATAAGTATCTGTACAGATATCTTAAAGGAAATCACCAGTACAGATACACAAGTTTCACAGATAATTACAGTACAGATACAGATATCTCACAGGTACCTACATGTACAGGTACACAAATCTCAGGTCATTACAAGTACATGTCCAGATATCTCACAGGTACTTACATGTACAGGTACAGATATCTCACAGGTACTTACATGTACAGGTACACAAATCTCAGGTCATTACAAGTACATGTCCAGATATCTCACAGGTACTTACATGTACAGGTACAGATATCTCACAGGTACTTATATGTACAGGTACACAAATCTCAGGTCATTACAAGTACATGTCCAGATATCTCACAGGTACTTACATGTACAGGTACACAAATCTCAGGTCATTACAAGTACATGTCCAGATATCTCACAGGTACTTACATGTACAGGTACACAAATCTCAGGTCATTACAAGTACATGTCCAGATATCTCACAGGTACTTACATGTACAGGTACACAAATCTCAGGTCATTACAAGTACATGTCCAGATATCTCACAGGTACTTACATGTACAGGTACACAAATCTCAGGTCATTACAAGTACATGTCCAGATATCTCACAGGTACTTACATGTACAGGTACACAAATCTCAGGTCATTACAAGTACATGTCCAGATATCTCACAGGTACTTACATGTACAGGTACACAAATCTCAGGTCATTACAAGTACATGTCCAGATATCTCACAGGTACTTACATGTACAGGTACACAAATCTCAGGTCATTACAACTACTTGTACAGATATCTCACAGGTAATTACAAGTACATGTACAGATATTTCACAGGTAATTACAAGTACATGTAATAATATCTCGTTAATATCTTGTTAATTACATGTTAAGTTACTTAATAAATTTTAGGTAAATATTCCTAACTTTACCTTACAGATAACTACACATTGTAACTAAGTAAATGTTTTAAAAGGTCATCAAAGAAAATGACCTTATAATAAATTTTATCATATCATAATTACATCTGTGGGTATTTTACAGTAAACTTCTGGTCAGTTTGAACAAATGATTTTTTTCGACAAGAACAATAATTTTCTGTCTAGTGATAGATCAAACCTCCTCTAGTCTTGTTTCACTTGAAAATTAAATTGTTCAAACATCAATGGAAAAGCCATGGTCTTCATGGACATGTCTGTAAATTGTATAAACAATTTCAATATTATTGTGAGAACACAGTAGAACTATTAATAAGGCATTTGTGTCACAGTAATTGCACTACATGTATGTGATCACAATTCACTTCAACGTTAAATGCTGTGGGTATTAGAATGTGAATCACCATTGGAAGTGGTCACATGACATACATGTCACTTAATTAGCATGGATTAATGTGATTTCTTTCACATCTTGCCATAATGCCATGCTCATACCAGCTGGCACAACTTGAGGCCCCAACTCTGTACTACAAGGAATCAATATATATAGACCACAGCATGTCAACATGGTTAGTGTAAAAGAGCAACAATGCTTCACATAACATTTTTATACGGTAATCACGTAAAGACTATCCCGGTGTATTATGACTAATAAATAAGTGTAGGAGTCAGAGATATTTTAAGAAACATTTATCCATAGCAATAAGTCTAAATCCACACTCAGCATACTTATACATTTTCGTAGCAATATCCAACGTGATGAAGAACACCTGTTCTATATTAATAGTCAATTAACATGTATTGCAGTACAGTAAGCATTTCAAAAGATCATCTTTTTATAATCAACGTTTATTTTTCTCGGTACTGCCTTACAAGGACACTTTTAATCACTTCATCATGATTTTGGGCAATGTCAACATTGATAGTTCACACTCTTATTTTCAGAAGTATAATTTGATATTAACCAACAATATTTATTTTTGTTCAAACTGACCAAAGGTTTACAAGAGATGATTTTCTGTGTTATGTTTATATTATTTTGACCAAATTAGGTATAAAAATTGATTTTGAGTTTTCCAAACACTGCACAAAAGTCAGGAAACTGTATTATAGGTTAGGACTATCAAGTTTCTCTCCTTATTTTACAGATAAAGACTATCGAGGTTTGGCAAGAATTGTATTTGAAAGTAAGGATGGCAGTAACCTGTTCTCTGCAGATAAGATCCGGCATATGTGTCGTGTTGAGGAGGAGCACATTCACACACACCCCACATACCCAGGTATGTGTTTGAGAGCCAATGATGACAGCTGTTGTCGGAGCTGGTCCTTAGGTAACTACGTTGCATTCCTGACAGGTCATAAGAATTGCTCAGAGATAAGCGATGAAGATGTGAACAAGGTGGGACGCTTGTTACAGAGTTGTGCAGCCTTCTATCACAATTATACCCTTAAACACAATTGTGACACACTTACCCGTGGAGCTAAACGTTATATCTGCAACAACATGCCTAAGAAGTGTATGAGGATGAACACTGTCTATGATATCTTCCATTACATAACAGACGTTGAGTTCCTGCAGGCTAACAACAAGGTGACAAGACCAGTGTTAAAGTGGGCGGTAACTTTCCTACCTGTGTATGCCAAGGAGAACACTGTTGAACTTTATAAACACATGGAGGGTTGGACAGAGTCTTTGGAGGAAGTTCAGATCGTTGGGGTTAATTTTGGTATCAAGTATATACTGTTTAGTGAGTACCTGTTATCAGATACAGTATGGCTGGTGTCAGCTGCCTGTGTTATCTTTGTCATCATCTGGCTGTACTGCGCCTCACTGTTCATCACCATGATGACATTCCTAATGATGTTCTGGTCTCTAGAGCTGGCCTACTTCCTTTACATGCTTGTGTTGGAGATTAAGTTCTTTCCATACATGAACCTGGTCACAGTGATAATTGTGATTGCGATCGGTGCTGATGATGTTTTTATATATAGTAAAGTTTGGCACCTAGCAAAGTCGGAGCCCAACAATGGGACATTGGAGAAAATTGTGTCAAATACACTCAAACATGCCACTTTGTCAATGTTTGTGACAAGCTTTACAACTGCCGCAGCCTTGTTTACGACCACAATCAGCTCCATCACTGCTATCAAGTGTTTCAGTATCTACGCAGGGCTCACGGTTGTCTGCAACTTTGTGTTGGTGGTGACATGGCTGCCAGCTTCCATCATCATACATGACAAGTGGTGTAACTGTGAAGCTTGGTATAACCCAGAGTTCCTCACCAGCAAAGGAATCTGTTACTACCTGTGTATAGTTCCATACAAAGTACACGATCAGTTCTCTGATTGGTCAAGGGTGCTTTTTGAAAAGGTGATACCGTTCATTATGATAAAATTACGAATGCTTTGGATAGTGCTTTTGGGAGGCATAGGAATTGGTGGTATCATTGTGATATTTTTCTACCCAAAATTAAAACTACCATCTTCTGAAAAATTCCAAGTATTTTCTTCAGATCATCTGTTTGAACATTATGATTTTGTGCTGAACAGTAAATTTTGGTTTGAAAGAGAACACACAGAGCACAGATCATTGTTGCCTCTGACAATAGTGTGGGGTGTCCATCCTACAGACAATGGCAACAGGCTGGATCCTTTCAACAGAGGGGAGCTAAAGTTTGATTACAGTTTCAATCCTTTAACTATTCCTGCACAAAAATGGTTTTTGAATTTTTGTAAGAAGATACGTCAGACAGATTTTTATTTTGAATTACCTGGCTTCCAATTTACAAACTGTATGTTTGAGGACTTTCAGAGCTTGATGAAAAGGCCCTGTATAGATTACATGCAGGGTGTAGATCACACTCCTTGTTGTAATGCAACAGAAAACCAACCCTTGTCTTCCACAGCCATGGTCCAGTGTCTGACAGAGTACATTCCAGTCCTGAGGACAACTCCTGGTGTCCGCTACAACTTCTTCACCCCAGGCCTCAGATTTTACAACGGTAGAATATGTGCCTTCATTATACAATTCTTGAGTAATGAAACTTTTTCCTTTGCTTATGACAAAATTAATATTTTTTATAAAAAAGTGAACAGCTGGGTCACGCAGGAGCTTTCAACAGCCCCACCTGAAATAAGGAATGGTTGGTTCATCAGTGACTTTGCATTTTATGATCTTCAAAATAGTCTGCTGGAGGAGACCCCACTAGCCTTTGGTGTGTCACTGGCTGTTGTGTCAGTTGTAGCATTCCTGACAACATTAAACTTGTTGATAAGTTTCCTGGCTATATTGAGCATTGCATTTGTGATGTTTACTACTGTGGCTGCTCTGGTGCTGCTTGGATGGGATCTTAACATTCTGGAGTCTGTGGTGGTCACAGTGGCCATCGGCATGTCAATAGACTACACACTCCATTATGGTGTGTCTTACCAGCTGTGCCCTGATTTTGACCGTAAGACACGAGTTTCCACTTCAGTAGCCAGACTTGGGAATGTTATCTCCATGGCGGCTTTGACAACATTCCTAGCTGGTGCCATGATGATGCCATCAACAGTTCTTGTGTACCAGAAGTTTGGTATTTTTCTCATGTTAATTATATCCATTAGTTGGACCTACTCCACATTTTTTTTCCAAGGCCTGCTGTGTGTATGTGGGCCAACAAAGGGTTTCACTCAGTTACATTGGCCATCCAGTGAATGTTGCTCAAATTCTGTCCCTGACCGTCGAGACAAGACACGATATTCCACCTCTGAGTCTACCATGTCTACTTCGAGCAGCTATCACCATACAACGAGCAGTGAGAGTCATGAGATGGAGCCATTGGCTGATGAGTACAGACATCGTTATCCCAGTCGTTCGCGCCCTAGCTACAGCCGCACATTAATGCCGACAGATTATAGCCCAGAACCTCCAAGACGTGGCAGTCATGTACGTTTCTCCATTGATAGTGTTGACAAATCAGTGTCTGTATTTGATCCTGAAGATGAGTTGCCTCATGCACAACGTTGTCGGTCCAGGGCCGAATCTGAGGTTTTTTTTGAAGATGAAGAAATAGAGGTTCCAACAAATGGCATAAATGATGATGACTCAGGGTCTTGATGCTGAAAATACATAAAACTCATTCATGTGTAACTTACCTCAATCTGTTTCAATACCAAACTTAGAATCTCAGGTCTTGCTGTATACCGCTACTCTCTAGTGTCAGCATTATATACCACATATATATTTAAATTTTACCTTAGAAAACTAAACTCGGATACAAGGACTTGTATAAAGTTTTTTACAAATTATTTATAAGAAAAAAATCCTGCAGTAGTTTTTGTAGATCCAAGTGATGCGTCTTCCATTGATGTGTGCTCAACCTGGAACTGGATGTACTGCGAAGAGTGTTGTAGTATTGGTGTTATATCTTACCAGTGATAAGACCAGGGCAATAGAAATCACATGATTATTGTAACTTAATTCACTCCTACATACCTGTATACTGGTACTCATACATACCTGTATACTGGTACTCATACATACCTGTATACATACATACCTGTATACTGGTACTCACACATACCTGTTTACTGGTACTCATACATACCTGTATACTGGTATTCACACATACCTGTATACATAAATACCTGTATACTGGTACTCACAAATACCTGTATACATACATACCTGTATACTGGTACTCACATACCTGTATACTGGTACTCATACATACCTGTATACTGGTACGCACACATACCTGTATACATACATACCTGTATACTGGTACTCACACATACCTGTATACTGGTACTCACACATACCTTAATACTGGTACTCACACATACCTGTAGACATACATACCTGTATACTGGTACTCACACATACCTGTATACCGGTATTCACACATACCTGTATACTGGTACTCACACATACCTGTATACTGGTACTCACACATACCTGTATACTGGTACTCACAAATACCTGTATACATACATACCTGTATACTGGTACTCACAAATACCTGTATACATACATACCTGTACACATACCTGTATACTGGTACTCACACATACCTGTAGACATACATACCTGTATACTGGTACTCACACATACCTGTATACTGGTATTCACACATACCTGTATACTGGTACTCATACATACCTGTATACTGGTACTCACACATACCTGTAGACATACATACCTGTATACTGGTACTCACACATACCTGTATACTGGTATTCACACATACCTGTATAATGGTACTCACACATACCTGTATACTGGTACTCACACATACCTGTATACTGGTACTCACACATACCTGTAGACATACATACCTGTATACTGGTACTCACACATACCTGTATACTGGTACTCACACATACCTGTATACTGGTACTCACACATACCTGTATACTGGTACTCACACATACCTGTATACATACATACCTGTATACTGGTACTCATACATACCTGTATACTGGTACTCACACATACCTGTATACTGGTATTCACACATACCTGTATACTGGTACTCACACATACCTGTATACTGGTACTCACACATACCTGTATACATACATACCTGTATACTGGTACTCACACATACCTGTATACTGGTATTCACACATACCTGTATACTGGTACTCGACATACCTGTATACTGGTACTCATACATACCTGTATACTGGTCGAATTTTACCTGAAATTCTCTGTTGAATTCTTTAAACAGGCGTGGGTTTAGATGTGACCATGTCCTTATCACTGGTAAAGTATAATATGATAATTTTTATATTTCGCATTCCAGATGTATATAGATTAAATATTTTACACCTTTTATGACAGATATACAAATTGTCAATGATGTCATCATTCATGTTTTGATCTAATTGATATTTTTGTAGAATCAGTTGTTGAGTTACATATATATCCATACTGCCAGTGACCCATTTATATACATGTTATCAGAGTATTCTCCAGCTAAGCAGGTCTAGTGAAAAATCTACTCAATATAACGCACATAGAAGTTATCCAAGCTTTAATACATTGTGTTACAGAATAAACTGTATATTACCAAAAATATTAGGGGGTTTATCATACTAAATATTTCATATAAAGTTGATATCTGATATTAAGGTAAAACTGATCCCCTGACAGATATACGCAAAGATAAAACTGATCTCATAACAGATATACACAAAGGTAAAACAATCACATGACAGATATACACAAAGCTAAAACTGACCGCCTGACAGGTATACACAAAGGTAAAACTGACCGCCTGACAGGTATACACAAAGGTAAAACTGACCGCCTGACAGGTGTACACAAAGGTAAAACTGATTCCATGACAGATATAGACAAAGGTAAAACTGATTCCATGACAGATATACACAAAGGTAAAACTGATCTCATGACAGGTATACACAAAGGTAAAACTGATCTCATGACAGGTATACACAAAGGTAAAACAATCACATGACAGATATACACAAAGGTAAAACTGACCGCCTGACAGGTGTACACCAAGGTAAAACTGTTTCCATGACAGATATACACAAAGGTAAAACTGATTCCATGACAGATATACACAAAGGTAAAACTGATTTCATGACAGGTATACACAAAGGTAAAACTGACCCCCTGACAGGTATACACAAAGGTAAAACTGACCCCCTGACAGGTATACACAAAGGTAAAACTGACCCCCTGACAGGTATACACAAAGGTAAGACTGATTCCATGACATATATACACAAAAGTAAAATTGATTTCATGACAGATATACACAAAGGTAAAACTGATCCCATGACAGATATACACAAAGGTAAAACTGATTCCATGACAGGTATACACAAAGGTAAAACTGACCCCCTGACAGGTATACACAAAGGTAAAACTGGTCTCATGACAGGTATACCCAAAGGTAAAACTGACCCCATGACAGGTATACACAAAGGTAAAACTGATCTCATGACAGATACAAAGTTTGTCTTTTGAAATTATAACAAAAACATCAAAGAAAATACTGTCAAGTGAACAGAATCTGAATTAAATGTCTTCTGCTTTATTGCTATGATATACTCACAATGATGTGCCTATTGATTCACAGTGAATTACTCAGTTGATAGAGTTATTTAGACTCAGCACCCTTGTTTACATACACTAACTAGCTATGATATACATATTAAGGAGCAATCATATACACACTGACTCACAATAATATATACATATTGACGCACAAGGGTATACATAGTGACTCACAAGGATATACATATTGATGCACAAGGATAGACCTATTGACTCGCAATGATAGACATATTGACTCACAAGGATATACATATTGACTCACAAGGGTATACATATGAACTCACAATAATACACATATTGACTTCCAATGATATACATATTGACTCACAATGATATACATATTGACTCACAAAGATACACTGGTTTATAGATATTCACAATCATCTACGTTACTTGATGTGTGATGATAAATCCATTAAGGCAAAATGGACTCAAAATTATATACATGTTGACTCACTGTGATATAAAATATTTACTCAGTGATATACATTTGACTCATAATAATATACATATTGACTGACATTGGTCTACATAATGACCCACTTTAATATGAATTTTGACATGCAATATTATACATATTACTCTTTCAGAGTGAAAAAAGTGAAATTTCTGCTTCATTAACGTTTACAGTGTCACAACAAAAAGTTTCTGGTGTTACAATTTATTCTTTTACTGTCGTTAATGTAGATAAATAGACGGGGTAAATTTAAATATGGTTTCCTTCATTGTCTCCGTATTACAGATGATGATACTGACATTATAATTTTGTTTTCAATTAGTGATTCATTAATTTCAGTAAATTCTATAGTATTGTACAAGGCATTCCTGTATGCAAGCTTGTTCAAAGAAAGGTGCTGTCAACCCTCTTGGGTTTTTAATAGTGTTTAAAAAGAATTATTTTTAATTACAAACAGTGTGAGCATTCAATAGTGCCAATTATTTGTCCCTTTTGATTGTTATATGATAAACCATTAGTATATTTATACAAGAGAAACCAGTGACATATGTTGGGCTGATATTTACTGTAGTAAGTGCAAGGATTATAGTGTTTGAAAATTTTAAGTCTTTTTTTATTATATCAATTTATCTTAATCATCGTCATTGTAGCTTTTACTTGCTTCTGTTTAATGTAAATTTACTTTTTATAGGCTTTTAACTGATCATTACAGTGAATGTGATATCAATGTCGACTATTGTTGTGATGTGCTTGTGTAGGAAAATTGTAATACAGTGTCATGGAGTAGTAGATTTTATAAACATGACATACTCTGACAAAAATTGTCTAGAAAAACATTTGTGGCAATGTATGGATGTTTGTGATGTTTATCCTTCTGTTCCTTGTTACTTGCTTTTACATACTAGCTCTGCTTTATAGATTTTATCATTATGTGTCGTTAATTACTTTTTATTGATACTAAATGTCACAGAAGATGGTGAGTCTTCATCATGTTCCAACAGAAGATAGTTTTACTTAGTCGTATAACTTAGTCGTATAAACTAAAATGTTTTAGTTAGATTAAAATGATGTCATGAAGCAGGTTCTGTTGTCTAGTTTGGATCTCCCCACAACTGTCAACAATGATCTCAAAACCGACGGGAATATGTGATCATCAATGATCACAAACACATGGGGACATGTAATTATCAATGATGACAAACACAAAGGGACATGTAATTATCAATGATGACAAACACAAGGGGACATGTAATTATCAATGATCACAAACACAAGGAGACATGTAATTATCAATGATGACAAACACAAGGGGACATGTAATTATCAATGATGACAAACACAAGGGGACATGTAATTATCAATGATGACAAACACAAAGGGACATGTAATTATCAATGATGACAAACACAAAGGGACATGTAATTATCAATGATGACAAACACAAAGGGACATGTAATTATCAATGATGACAAACACAAAGGGACATGTAATTATCAATGATCACAAACAGAAGGGGACATGTAATTATCAATGATGACAAACACAAGGGGACATGTAATTATCAATGATGACAAACACAAAGGGACATGTAATTATCAATGATCACAAACAGAAGGGGACATGTAATTATCAATGATCACAAACAGAAGGGGACATGTAATTATCAATGATCACAAACAGAAGGGAACATGTAATTATCAATGATGACAAACACAAAGGGACATGTAATTATCAATGATGACAAACACAAAGGGACATGTAATTATCAATGATGACAAACACAAGGAGACATGTAATTATCAATGATGACAAACACAAGGGGACATGTAATTATCAATGATGACAAACACAAGGGGACATGTAATTATCAATGATGACAAACACAAAGGGACATGTAATTATCAATGATGACAAACACAAAGGGACATGTAATTATCAATGATGACAAACACAAAGGGACATGTAATTATCAATGATGACAAACACAAAGGGACATGTAATTATCAATGATGACAAACACAAGGAGACATGTAATTATCAATGATGACAAACACAAGGGGACATGTAATTATCAATGATGACAAACACAAGGGGGCATGTAATTATCAATGATGACAAACACAAAGGGACATGTAATTATCAATGATGACAAACACAAAGGGACATGTAATTATCAATGATGACAAACACAAAGGGACATGTAATTATCAATGATGACAAACACAAGGAGACATGTAATTATCAATGATCACAAACCAAGGGGACGTGTAATTATCAATGATCACAAACCAAGGGGACGTGTAATTATCAATGATGACAAACCAAGGGGACGTGTAATTATCAATGATGACAAACCAAGGGGACGTGTAAAACATAACGTAAACCTAGTGAGTGACAATGACCCATTTTTTTATCATGCTATGTATTGGGGCCAAAAACATATATTTTGTTACTAGCCAGTTGTTGTCATTTGTTGGCTTGGATGTTGAAGTGCTTACTGGTTCATTTTGATTTTCAATTCACCTTGCCTGAATGTCTCTGTGAATTAATGTCATGGTGTATTGTCTGTTGTCTCTCTGTATACTGTACTTCTTTTCTTTTTCAGTTTCTGCCAAGAATAATGACATCTAGTGTAATTTCAGATGCAGCTGTATTTTGAATGACCTTGGCCATTCAATATTTTTTTATAAGAACTTGACACAACCTCTTCTAAAGTCAATGGTTTTGATAGTGATGGTACTCATTAAAGGCCAGTTATAGGATTTTACGGTGGTTTTCAAACTGTCCAATTATCTTAACCAACATGTAGGGTCATATAGTTCAAATGCAATTAAAGTTAAAAAAATAATGAGAAAAACATGTTTTCAGAAAGACTTTGATGCTAAAAAAGGGGACAAATATTTGATGTCATGCTTACCACCTCTTTTCAAATTAATGGCATTTGTTCAAGTAATTGCCAAACAATTGAAAAGAAATCTGTTGCCTAGAAAATCATTAAGTTTGTTTCAAATATGTCCAAGGCCTTCTTTCAAATTCAATTTATGGTACGAAACATGTATCTCAATGACATCATTTGAAGGTTCAGATCATCCACTGTATGTGTCAAGGTTCAGATCATCCACTGTATGTGTCAAGGTTCAGGTTATCCACTGTATGTGTCAAGGTTCAGATCATCCACTGTATGTGTCAAGGTTCAGATCATCCACTGTATGTGTCAAAGTTCAGATCATCCACTGTATGTGTCAAGGTTCAGATCATCCACTGTATGTGTCAAGGTTCAGATTATCCACTGTATGTGTCAAGGTTCAGATCATCCACTGTATGTGTCAAAGTTCAGATCATCCACTGTATGTGTCAAGGTTCAGATCATCCACTGTATGTGTCAAGGTTCAGATCATCCACTGTATGTGTCAAGGTTCAGTTCATTCAGGTCATCCACTGTATGTGTCAAGGTTCAGATCATCCACTGTATGTGTCAAGGTTCAGGTCATCCACTGTATGTGTCAAGGTTCAGATCATCCACTGTATGTGTCAAGGTTCAGATCATCCACTGTATGTGTCAAGGTTCAGGTCATCCACTGTATGTGTCAAGGTTCAGGTCATCCACTGTATGTGTCAAGGTTCAGGTCATCCACTGTCTGTGTCAAGGTTCAGATCATCCACTGTATGTGTCAAGGTTCAGATCATCCACTGTATGTGTCAAGGTTCAGATCATCCACTGTATGTGTCAAGGTTCAGGTCATCCACTGTATGTGTCAAGGTTCAGATCATCCACTGTATGTGTCAAGGTTCAGGTCATCCACTGTATGTGTCAAGGTTCAGGTCATCCACTGTATGTGTCAAAGTTCAGATCATCCACTGTATGTGTCAAGGTTCAGATCATCCACTGTATGTGTCAAGGTTCAGGTCATCCACTGTATGTGTCAAGGTTCAGATCATCCACTGTATGTGTCAAGGTTCAGGTCATCCACTGTATGTGTCAAGGTTCAGATCATCCACTGTATGTGTCAAGGTTCAGATCATCCACTGTATGTGTCAAGGTTCAGGTCATCCACTGTAGGTGTCAAGGTTCAGATCATCCACTGTATGTGTCAAGGTTCAGGTCATCCACTGTATGTGTCAAGGTTCAGGTCATCCACTGTATGTGTCAAGGTTCAGGTCATCCACTGTATGTGTCAAGGTTCAGGTCATCCACTATGTGTCAAGGTTCAGGTCATCCACTGTATGTGTCAAGGTTCAGGTCATCCACTGTATGTGTCAAGGTTCAGGTCATCCACTGTATGTGTCAAGGTTCAGGTCATCCACTGTATGTGTCAAGGTTCAGGTCATCCACTGTATGTGTCAAGGTTCAGGTCATCCACTGTCTGTGTCAAGGTTCAGGTCATCCACTGTATGTGTCAAGGTTCAGGTCATCCACTGTATGTGTCAAGGTTCAGGTCATCCACTGTATGTGTCAAGGTTCAGGTCATCCACTGTATGTGTCAAGGTTCAGGTCATCCACTGTATGTGTCAAGGTTCAGGTCATCCACTGTATGTGTCAAGGTTCAGATCATCCACTGTTTGTGTCAAGGTTCAGATCAATTAAACAAGAGTTCCTGAGTAATGACATAGATGAAGAATTTATTGAAATTCAATAAAATATAGGGATTATATCTGTTAACTTGATGACTCTTATATCAACAGAATTGCAAAACTAATGTAACCAGGTGGATGATACAGGTCAAGTGTGCCTCTTATTATAAGGTATGTGTTCATAAAAGTTATTCCAAATGTGTGTACCGAATCTGGTATCATGTTGTAACACCATCTCTGACTGTTTTACATGACAGAATACAAATAAATGAAGTGAAACTCTAACATTTCATTCAGGGTCGCCTGCAAGTGTACCAGATCTGGTTAAGGTTAGAAAAGTGCGGACTAATGTCATGTTGTTGGTGAGTAATTTTACATCAGACTGACACAACTGGCTGACTGCTAGCTATGGATGTGTAACCAGGTTGTTTGAGATCCTGTTAGCCATATTAGGGTAACCAGGTGAAATAGAAACGTTGAAACCAAATGACAAATTAAGTTCTATGAGTATTTTGATTTCTAAATTAACAAGACATGTAGAAATATATAACTGAAACATCAAAATAAACTTTATCCTTTGATGTAACCAACAAAAAGACATTTAAACGCTTAAATAACATCAAAAGACATGTATGTATTTAAACATATAGTACTTTAGACATGTTGTGGTATCTATATTCTATTTCTTATACTGTAGGCATGTGTTACAACATGTTTATAACATATCTGATGTACAATTATCAATTATACAAATATGTATTACAAGTGCTTTGTGTAGCACTTGAACAGCTGATATTGCTAGTAACACCAATTGTGTTGTCTTTTTTTTCTAATCATGTTTACATACTTTCTACATTGTATAGGTTTATTTATCAGCAATACTGCAATAAAGATGTTTTCTCTCTGCCAAAATCATGTATTTGAGTTCAATAGTTTCTCTCAGGTGTGATATATTGGTAAAATTTTGATAAAGCAATGCTATCTGTTACACAAAAACAAGATTTCTGGGCGACATAGTATATCAGTATAGAACCTGCATTATCAACTAATCTTCAAGTTACTTAATTACTGTTTGAAATTATAACTTTTTGTTATTTGTCAGTTTGTTTGTGGAAAAATATTGAGTTTGGTTTTTAGGTCACCTATTGACCACCTTGAGATTGCCTCTAATGCACCATCACTATATGGCGGCTTGTTAAAACTGCCTTCTATCAGTAATCATTTCTGCTTTTGTTATTTCTTGGGAAGTATTTGATGGATCTTTTTCAGATCTTGTGTTAAGGTTCAAAGTGATGCCCTTTTAATTTTGAGATTGATCAGAAAGACCAAATGGCTTATAGGTGGTTCTCTTGAATTTTGACAAAGGGGCTAGTCATTTCTCATAAATTGGTTCCTTTTGGCCCCTAGTTATGCCCTTTCATGTTTTTTGATTGATCAGAAAAACAAAATGGCTGACAGCTGGTCATCTTTGATTTTGACAATTGATGTTTGGTATCACATTTTTAGCGAAGTACTGGATTTCATATCCTACAGGTCACTTTTGGTGTATTGGTGCCTTTTTTCTAGTTTTTAGGGTGAATGTTAGAAAATTGACTGACAAGCAGCCATTTTTGGTTGTGTCACTGAAAATTGGTTATTGATATTTCTTGAGAAGAACTGGATGGATCATTCTCAACTTAAGGAATGTTCAGAAAAACAAGATGGTTTATGGGAGTCCATCTTGGTTTTAGACCATTAATGATTGTCATTATACACCCAAAATGGAGTTGAGATGGGAGGGGGAAATTTACTGGAATCAACCACCCAATCTGTCTGAATGTCTGTCGTCCACAAATATAGTCTCGAGAACTCCTTCTAAACAGAGTGAACCAATTCCAGTGAAACTTCATATTATATTAAGGACCCTAAAAGACAGAAATTTTGGTTTGGGTACCTTGATAACTGGTTAACAGGTTTTAATATGAATGGCCAACACAATTTTGGCCACTGATAGGTCAAAATTTAGATACTATTCCAATTTTGACCAAATTTGGTTTGTAGGGGCACTAGGGGATGCCAAATATCACTGCATATGTTTTCTTGTTTTTAACAACTACGCTGAGGTAAATTGTGGCCACTAATTGGTATTTTGTAAAACTGAAAAAGTTTTATAATTACATTATTATATATGATTTATCAAAATTAAATTTTCATTGTTTAGTGCAATGCAAAGGTAAAGGTAAGTCGATAGGAATTGCATGACCATTTACCAAGGTTATTAGTAAAAGATCAAGGTAAAATTGTTCATCACTGAACTAGTAATGATTTCCAAGTAAATTTATAAACCTTTCTTGCAATGCTTTCTGAAGGTATCTGAACAAATGTCAAGATCACTGGGTTAAAAGTCAAAGATCAGGGTCGAATTAGTTATCTCTGAACTACTTGATATTTTGTAATGAAATATCAAATCAAGTCAAGTCCATCACGATCTATTGTTCACTTATGTGGCCGAAGGTCATGGTCACTAGGTCAAAGGTCAATCTATAATTTTCTGTTATAATGAAACTATGATTAAGTTGATCAGAACTGAACGAAAGTTGATATTTTATGTAACAGCTTACCTAGATTTGACCAGATCAGGGATCGTTATAGAAGTCTAAACAGTGGAGACAACCTAGGATATCGAAATAAGCGTGATATAAACAAACCACTAGAACCTTTCTGTCAGGAAACGGATATTCTCAATAGAATCAAAGAAATTATCACAATTACTGTATTGATTGGTGCCGAGCTGTCCCAGTTGGATACGTTTTTAGTAAAGATGGAGGTAAGTGGCTGTTGTGGAAGTGTCTGCGGTGTCCTTGATTTCAGGCTCCGTGTGATAAATAAAGCAAGCGAACGAGAGCACATCATGGATATATATGATTGAAAGTGACGATTTGTCAAAGTTCCTTGTTCCTTGTTCTAAAGATCTTCATTTCAGTTTCGTATAAGACAGGAGACACGTCGGCCTTAGAGAGGGACAGGCGCCTCATGGATGTGCCAAAGTCTGTTGGAATATCTCGTAACCATATATAACGATGACTCTGTTCAGCCATGAATAAATCATAGCAATTTCATCATCCTCTTAGCTTCCACTTTGGTCTTACTCGTATTGTTTCAGGAAATGTTTTCAAAACAGACCACGACCTTTAAATGTGGTGGTAAACTGGTGGAAGTGTTCAATATTTGTCTATAGCAACACGGCCTTCAAAACCCTAAATGATTGGAAGCAAGAAGTATAAAAAGACTGTTAACTTTATTACATTACCTATTAACCAAGATTGGGTGTCGTCGACGAAGGAGTAGACGCTTACTCTTCTGGAACAAATGGTCATACAACTATTTCAATGTTAACAGTGTAAATATATTCTGCCCTCGTTCTGTCGACTTTGGGTTGTAATTACTTTTCTTGCTCTTTAAAGTTTATTTCAATTCAATAACAGCTTTGATAACATCTAGAATAGACCTTATCACAATTTCACTATTTCGGTCCATTCATTCTAGAAATGTAATATGCCCCACAAAGGACGAAAGGAAGCCCGCATTCTAATGATCGAGTACAAAGAGACGATTCTCGCACGAATGCCATTTGAGTTACTCATGATCGATGGGCTAGAATTTCAAATCTAAAATTTCTTCATAACTTCATTTGTCTTTCAGTGTATTTGGACTATGTATATACATGTCCTGTCCTGTACCAAATCTGCCGAAACATTCTTCAAGATTATTGAATTGAAAGACACAAAGGGCGTGTGACATACTTTTGAAAAGTGTGAGTCGTGACTTTTTTCAGAACAAGAAATCCTAGCTCATCAGCTCTGTCAGAGATACAAACGCAATATATCTCGAATGTTTTTAATATGAAACTTATCTCAAGGCTAGAAATACAAAGATGAATAAAAATTCAAGGCAATATTCCTAATATTACAGGAAATCATGGCTACAGTCTGTACTGACTGTAATTATGACCTTGAGGTATGTTGTAGTCGATCATTACTTGAGTCCGCAACGGAACGGAAAGGTGAGGATGACACTGGCAGCTTACAATGCTCGTGTACCGTATCGCCCCGCCGTAGGTCGCACGGCTGTCTAAAGTCAGTGTTCCACTGACCCAAATGTATAACTGGCTTCTCATTTTTAATAGCCATCTTCAGATGGTAGATTTTGTGTGCTTTCATGTGTTATATTCATAAATGAGTTATTTTCTTGATCCTGACAGATAATTACACAGATGATGACATTTTATGATTATTTTTCAATTTAACACACTTTTGTCTCAATGATAATTCACAACTATAATTATTCTTTTCATACCTAGAAGAAAATTAGACACTTAACCCTGACACATTTGAAAAAAACAATGCATTGCAAACGATACAAAAAAACCTTTGTAGTGCGACCTTGACAGATGGGCGATAAAAGATGACCTCGTACACGAAGAAATATAGTAACGGTGACCTTGATCTTGACCCTATAACCCAGAAACTCTTAACTCGTCTGTAAAAGTATGGCCCTTTAGAAGAATGTCGAGCTTGTTTAAAACAATCATCAAGGAATGAAGCCACTAGCTAGCTTACCATGATTTTCTAAAATGGTAGCAGTGACCTTGTTTATGTAACACTAAAACTTGAACTCTCGCCAGAAATTAATGATCCTTCATGATAATGTGCATGGACCGAGATATTTTGATCCTTTATAACTATTTTGGCCAATTTCACAATTATATATAGTAAGAAATAATAACAAAACGACTGGTTAAAACGGAGCTCCGAAAGGTCACGTGGTGAACTCGGCTATCTCCGATAAAAACAGCGATGAGTGGTAGACACAACAGCGAGTGTTGACTAGCGTCAGTTTGAAGCTGATAATCATTATCTTTTTTTCTCAGAGAGTGTTATAATTTTGAGAAGAGTCTAATTTAGGTATTACAATGCTTGGTGGTGGTGGGGGGGGGGGGGGGGGAATAAAGAAATCCAACAATGCATTCCCTTT